GGTTCGAGAAATCGAGAGTTGACTGTAAAACATTTCAGTCCATATAATCTGAAAGAATTGAGCAATATTTAAAAGTAGGGTCGGATATGTCAACTCTCTGAATCGGCTGAAATTTTACATGATCACCTGATTTTCCGGGCCTTAACAACTAAATAGGTGATTTAAAGGTCTTAAAAGCTGTCTTAGTAATGTAATTGACCGTTAATTTGCCAAGTATGGAGATGGCCGCTTTCTATCGRCTCCACATGATGGCAGAGAACATTTAAAGGACTTGTTGTCTGTAGTGTTAATCGAAAACTATTTAAACAAGTATTTTTCAATAATTTAGCTCGTTTAGTCTAGTTGCTACAATGAGAGGTTTTCTTTGAGAAACAGAAAAAGGTTTCGTGTTCTGTTAGGAGTTCATTATGCATTCCAGAGTCCAGATTCCTCAGTAAATATTGAAGAATCGGCAGTTTCCCATGCTATGTCGAGTGTAAACTTTCCACAGTTGAACTTGAATGCAGATCCTTATGTTTAGTTGCTCTATACCAACAAGAAAAAAGAGTTTAAAAATTGCTGAGGCTCAGTCGACTATGGTGCTGCAACCCCCTCAAAAAATCATCAACAACAGCCTTTCAATTATATCCCTTGATGGAAAAAATCCGAGCCTGAGGAAAATATCACATGCACTTAAAAACATTCATACAATACAATACAATACTTTATTTAACGAGGAACATCCACTTTGCTATATGGTTTAGTTTTTAAAAACAATGCATCAGCTACTTCAAAGATATGCCATGAAAAATAAATAAGAAATAAATAAGTAAATAAAAGAAAAATATTTGATAAAAATATATAAACCAAGTAAGAGTTGAAAATAAAGCTATCACAGAACAAGAACTATTTACAAGATAAGAAAGCAATGTTGTCTAAAGTATTGACTCACTTGTTAAAAGTTTTCTAAAAGTTTTAAAATCCGATGACGCTCTATGAACATCAGGTAAGGTATTCCAAACCTTGGGGGCCAGAATGTCTTTTCTTCTCAAAACGTATGTCTTTTATCTTGGTGATATTAACTCACTTAGACTCTCCGGGTGCCTTGATTCACGACTGTGTAAACCGTACAAAGGATGTTATGTAATCTTTGTTCCATGCAATAAGGCTCTTCTAC